AATGCAGTGAATTGAGTGTTGGTTGGAGAATACTTGATAGCTTGTGATAGCAGGGATGTGGAATGGTGCATCGTAGAGATGCAACAACCGAGGGAAGGAAGCAAGCTACAGAACTGTGAAGTGAATTATATGATTTTACGATTATTAAAATATTTTCTTGTTAGTGCGTTTCAATTCGATTTATTTAAGAGTTAAAAGCGGAATGCTTGTACTGTATTTTTGTGGGAAAGATGCGCGCGAGATGATAAGTGGATAAGAAACCCGCATTTGTGATTTGATTCGGAGATGTAGCTATTAATTTTAATAAAATGTACGAAATTAAAGAAAAGGATAGCCGAAACCATTATAGTCTTAGAGAATCTGGCTGAGATTTATGGAGATGAGAAATATACATATAACCCTAAGGTCGAGGCCACGCAATGAGCGGCCACTTCAATAGTATTTCATATGTTTTAATTAAGCCACTCAGCCGCTCGCCGCTTTGCGCCGCTCATTGCGTGGTCTTGGCCTAAGGCGGCCAATTGGTCAAAAATCACTCATTTAATTTATCTCTTGGTGTTTTCATTTCTAACGGAAAAGGTTGCTTCTCTTTGCCCCCCATGCACAAATACTAAGAAGAGGGCGATAAGTAGGCAACATTATTTGTAGAAACGAAAACGAAATAGTTACGGCCCCTTAATCGGTAATACCACGGGCACCTATATCACATAAAAATTTTGGTTCCGATTGGAGACGGTTAAGGCAAATGGGGCAAAGTACAGATTCCTCTATAGAGACTCAAAAAATTAAAATTATTATTTTTTTTCATCTAATACCCAAAATCGATACTATCATAGTCCAAGATATCATATATAAATTTTGGTTCCGATTGGAGTCGGTTAAGACCTCTTCATAGGGTAATCTGAACTTTGACCCCTATGCGACACGCCTTACCAGCCACTAATCGGGACCAGAATTTATATGTGATATCTTTGGCTATAGTGGCATCGACGTCGGGGTTGAGACTTAGGAACTCTGATGTAAAAATTTGCTTCCTACATTTAAGGACCACCCTAATATACATACATATGGGGCGAAATTCGCCAAATGTACCAGAAAAAAAATTTTATGGCAGTATTTTGTTCAAACTCCACCACGTTGTTGCTATAGTTACTGGTAACCAATGCGTAAAATAATTTCTTATCTACCGCGGTTTTTCGTCGACAAAAATGCAAGGCGGACGGACCCGAGTGCGTTCTATGATGAAAATTTGTAGTCCTTTTGCCACGCCCAATACAAATTGTATATCGTTGGAATGCTTAGAAAATAAGCTATGGAAGTAAGCCAATTCCGAAAAAAATACAAAAATTGTACATTGTTTAAAAAATGCAATACAAATTTTTTATAGGAAATTTTTGCATAAAAAAATGTTGCAAAAAATTAGTTTGCAAATTTTTGCATAAAAAAAAATTTCAAAAAAAATGTTTGCAAAAATTATAGTTTCCACCAAAAAGCAGGGGAAAAGTTCTAATAGGTCAGCAATTTTTGATTCCCGATCATAAGCGTGACATGAGATAAGAGTTTTAAGAAAACTTGTGACTCTTAGAAAAGCGCTGAAATTCGCATGTTCAAACGCGCATAACTCGACAAAAAACCGCGGTGGAAAAAGAATCTTTTACACATTGGTTACCAGTAATCATAGCAACAACATGGTAGATTTTGAACAAAATGCTGCCATAAATGTTTTTCCTGGTACAATTGACGAATTTTAAACCATATGGAGTTGCGAATTGAAAATATAATCAAAATTTGTTCTATAGACATAATTCAAAATCACAAATAAACATCACCAGCAGGATTGCATGAAAAAATGCATTCAATTTGCACTCAATGAAGCACTAATTGAGCAATTAAGAATAAACATTTTTTATGGTAAATCAAGCTCAATAAGCGTCTTAAAAGAGAGAGCTTGGTTAATTGCTCAATTAACTGCCTGTCTGAACATACTTTTAGAAAGTATTTAAAAGATCACACTACTTAAATAGTTAATGAAAGCTGATATTAAATTTCGTGCAGTGAAAATGCTAGAATTTAAGCACATTAGCACTCTTTTCTTTAAACTGAAAATAAATCTCAATCTTACGAACGCTTAAAGGCCATTGTTTAATTTATTTATCCGTACGGATGTATATATTTAATTAAGTGGAAGCACAGAAAAAATTCACCTGAAATCATGCCATGGATTTCAAACATTTATAAAGCTTAGCATTATGTTCATCTTTTTTCAATTAAATTGCGCATTAAATGAGCAAGCGTACATTCATATACAATTTACAAACACACTTACTTAAACACACACACAAACACGCCCCGAATACTTCTTTTTGCTTGCCAGGAAAATTGATTATTTTATTTATGTAGTTAGCTACATAAAAACGGGTCGAGCTAAATGTACACATTTAATCTAGGATGACACCAACTAGCATCCAGGACAATCCCGGATTTGATGATAAATTCCATGTAATAAAGAAGACATTAAGTGGGGTGTCTCCGTGTGCATGTCGCATTGCCACCACTTAACTGTCTTTTCATTTGTGTGCAATCACACACACAAAAAAAAAATAAAATCGCCACTACTTATAAAAACATAAAACAAGCTAGGATTCACACATGTGAACACACGAGCAGCTATCTCTGTATGTATGGTTGTGTGTTATGCGGCGAGCGTGTGAGTTTAGCTCTGTAAGTGCGCTTTGTAGCAAGTAGATAAAACGCTGCTACATTTTTCACCTCGTTATGCACACTGTTTTTTTTCATATGTTGAAAAACAAAAAAAAAATACAGCCACACGCTCACCTAGCTTACGATCACACTTGCAACCGCGCGCAACAACTCGACTAATTGCGCACTATTATTATTCATTCGTTCCCTACTAAGATGTCCCTCTTGTTGCTTACCTTACAGTCATGGTTTTTTACAACTCATATACATACGTATACATATGTACCCTGCAGGGAAACCGCGGACTAGTGAATCAAATTTCTAGTTCCGTACTGGGTCTTTATCGCCAAAAAGGAACTAGGCCGATAAGAACTAGATCCCCATCAGTCCAAAAACGGCGAAAAGTGGTACTTTTAAGAAACTATTTTTTTCAGTTTTTTTCACTTCAAATCTATATCTAAAGTGACGAATTTAGAAATAGTTCGGAACTATAGAAAAAGGGATGCAGCGGGGGGCTTGTTTACTTTACATAGATATGTGTTCGGCGGCCTTTTCGTTCAAATACGCTTCTATTCTGTGCTTAGATGCTATTTCATAGTTTGGTAATACAAAACAAAGCTTTGTGTTAACATATTAACATCTTGGGGTCGTCTGGAATCTAACCAATAACAGCGAGCACCTCTGCAAAGTCAGCTACAGCAAGGTATGTAAACGTACATTTCTTACAATCATTCAAACAAATTTAATTTCAAATTGAAAAAACGTTTCTTTGAAAATAGAACCGGAAGAACCGAAAAGATTGAATAATCATGATACTTTTTTCTTTCGTCTGTCGATTTTAGAACTGGTTCGGAACTATAGAATTTAGAACTAGGTCGGAACTATCGAAAAAGGGATGCAGCGGGGGGCAATTGACACTTCCTAGGACATCGCCATGTTAAATTCGCCAGTTACTTGCATGCAAAAGAGATTTATCGCGAACCAGTACTGGGTCTAAATATACTAGAAGCGCCCCAGTTCAGAACTAGAGATTTTCCCTACAGGGTACATATATATGTATATGCATGTGTGTATGTATATGTGCATATGTGGTTCTAACAGTAAGCAAAATTTTTGCTGATTTTTGTTTGTTCAACGTTTTCCTTGTCCTCGTTTGCGCGGCATTTGTCCTTAAAGTGTGAACACGCATTAAGCTGATTCAAAAAAAGTGAAAAAAAACCGAGTAGCCTTGTAAAAACATGTGGAAACACCTCAAACAGTGCATACTTTTCAGCCACACGTTTTTTTGATGATTTAAGAGAGGATGGTTTTTAGTTAAAGTAATGTATATGAAGTTATAATCATTTATACTAAGTGTCACGATAATTAGGGATTTTTAAAAAGGAAGCTAGGGGAAAGTTCTTACGTACTAGAGGTCTGCATCGGAAGATATTTGGCTTCACATTTAAGTTTTCTAGCGAATACGCTTCCTTCTCTTCCTCTCACTGAGAAGGCGGATAGTGAAGAGAAGTATATTTGGGGCCGGTTGCTCAAAGCCTGGTTGACACTAATCGCCGGTTAAACATCGTTATCGACGTTACCGACACCGTGTTATATGCATGGAGTCGAAAACGTCGATAACGATGTTAACCGGTGATTAGTGTCAACCAGGCTTTGAGCAACCGGCCCTTAGTCGCTAAGCGTCGAGTAACTAAGTAAAGTACTCAACAAAAATATGTTCCGAAAAAGAGAGGAACATAAAAGAGGAGTATTTACTACGTTGTGAAACTTCCGCTAGTAAAAGTGAAGTTTTCAAGTATTTTAGGAAGATTTCGTTTGAGAGCATAATTTATATATAAGAAATATGATATGTGTCATGCACATAAAATATATTTACGTTTATTTCTATACGTTTTTTATTTATATGTGGCGCTCGCCACTGTAAACACGGTATAATTGTCTTTTGCCGAATCGATCACTATCGATTTTCGATTGTATTGCTCTCTCACTATTGTATTGGCAGATGATCAAAACAAGTTAAGTTTTCGCTGGCAAATTGATACACATATTTTTCTGATTAATACGTAACGTTATATTGTAATTTCCGCGTTATTAAATTGCCAAAATAAAGTTTAATCTGTTCCATCACAAACCGGTTTGTATTGATCGCCGTTTCGCGCAACCAAAGCGCTAAATTGGTGACCCCGACTTTGGACCACGTGGACTCTTTGTAACATAACTCTGGAGGTTAGAGCTGACCGCTTCGCCAGTAATTTTCTTTAGCGGGTCATTATTCAACTTTTGGAAGCGACCATCAGGTTATGTCAGACGACGATACCAGTGTTAAGGAATTTGGCCATAAAGCAATAAAAGCAGAATCATCGAGATATTCGTTTACACAGCAGCAGTTCGGTATGGCTACTAAAATCAAGGCACCCCAATTCAGTACGCAAAATCCAAAGCTTTGGTTTGCACAAGTCGAAGCCCAATTTTCGACAAACCAAGTAGTTACTGAGCGCACCAAATTCGACCTCGTAATTCCATTGCTTGATACTCGCGTCGCATCGGAAGTTGAGCGACTTATTCTCGAACCGCCAGCAGTTTCGCCTTACTCAGACCTCAAAGCAGCACTAATTAAATGTTTCTCAAAATCGGAAGAGGCAAGAATCTCGCAACTCCTCGACAAAGAACGCCTGGGTGACCGCACACCATCGCAGCATCTACGTCATTTACGAGCACTGGTTCCAGGTATAGACGACGTCATAATTAAAGCGCGTTGGCTATCACATATGCCAAACGAAATCCAGGTGTGCCTTGAAGCTTTCGCCGACGCAACACTCGAAAAACTTGCCGAGTCCGCCGACAGAATGGTTGAACGTCTGTCGCTCAAGCCCCAAGTGGCAGCTACGATAGTACCATCTACTTCGGAAAGCAGCGAAGTCGCGTCACTGCGCCGAGAAGTCGCGCAGCTTACGAAACAACTAAAAAATATGTCGACCAATCGCTCCCGGCCAAGGTCTCGAAGTCGCTCACGCCCACAAGCAACGAAGAAACATGATCTCTGCTGGTATCATTGGAAATACGGAAAGCACGCTCGCACTTGCGTACCGGGTTGCAAGTGGCAGGGAAACGCCAGCGAGAATCAGTAGAAGCGGCCTGCGATTCTCAGCTAATATCTCGCCGCCTCTTTGTCAAAGACAGAACATCGGGTACGGAATATCTCATCGATTCCGGATCCGATTTGTCCGTCGCTCCACGTGGGCGTCTTACATCGACATCTAAACCATTATGCTATCAACTGTACGCGGCGAATGGCTCAATAATACAAACTTATGGCTTGGCAGAAACAACACTTAATCTTGGACTTCGCCGTAATTTTATAATTGCAGATGTCACTAAGCCGATAATAGGTGCTGACTTTCTAAGCCATTACGACCTATTAGTCGACTTAAAACGTAAACGCCTTCGCGATGGTCTCACGGGCGCAATTACCCACGGAAATACTCTTACGACATCGGCAGAAGCAAATATTAAAGCATTAGATAGCAAAACAGCATACTTGGCGTTACTGAGAGAGTTCGGCGATATTACACGGCCAGTAAACCTAAAATCCAGTAAAAGGAAGCATTCGACCGTTCATCACATTCGAACGTCACCGGGACCTCCAGTTTCGTGCAAAGCTAGACGCCTGGCTCCCGATAAGCTGAAAATAGCACAAGCAGTATTTAGCAAAATGATCAGTCAAGGCATTTGCAGACCTTCCAACAGCGCTTGGTCTTCACCACTCCATCTGGTTCGGAAGAAATCCGGAGAATGGAGACCGTGTGGTGATTACCGGCCACTCAACGAGCGTACGCTGATAGACAAATATTCCTTGAGATATATTGACGACTTTGGCGCATTTTTGTACGGAAAAAACTTATTTTCGGTCATTGACTTCGAAAAGGCCTTCCTGCAACTACCGGTGGCCCCCGAAGATGTGCCGAAAACGGCAATCATCACGCCTTTTGGGCTGTTCGAGTTCCTCTACATGACGTTCGGACTCAAAAATGCTGTCAAACGTTCCAGCGATTCGTTGATGAGGTCACTCGTGACCTCGATTTCGTTTTTCCATACGTTGACGATATTCTGATCGCATCAAAGGACGAAGACGAACATTTGAAACACCTTCGAATTCTGTTTGAACGCCTACGCGAGTATGGTCTCGTTATAAATGTGCAAAAATGCCAGTTTGGACAACCAGAAGTGCAGTTTCTCGGGCATCTTATCACGAGGAACGGAATTAAGCCGCTGCCCGAAAAGGTCGAGGCTATTACTAGTTTTAAGCCTCCAACTACGGTCAAAGCACTCCGAAGATTTATGGGCACCGTAAATTTCTACAGGAAATTCGTAAAAAATGCTGCGGAAATTTTGTTGCCGCTAAACAAAGTTTTGGAGGGACCAAAAGTGAAAGGGTGTCACCCAGTCACCTGGACTGATGAATTGCATGAAGCTTTCAACACGGCTAAACGTGCTCTGTCCAACGCTGCGTTATTGGTGCATCCCAAAATCGACGCTGACTGGGCAATATTTACCGATGCCTCCGAAAATGGAATTGGAGCCGTTTTGCAACAATACGTACACAACGAATGGCAACCACTAGCATTTTTTAGCCGAAAAATTCCTCCAACGATTCAGAAACTTTCGACGTATGACCGCGAGTTCCACGCCGTCTATGAGGCTATAAAGTACTTTCGGCACATTTTTGAAGGTCGGCATGTAACGATCTATACCGATCATAAACCGCTTCTGCACGCATATAACCAGCGCACCGAAAGAGCATCGCCGTGGCAGTTTCGCCGTCTCGATTTTATCGGCCAGTTTACCACGGACATTCGACATGTTTCAGGCTCTGACAACATCGTCGCCGACACATTGTCACGCGTCGAAGCCGTCGCCGTAGCTATTACCTCGCAAGAACTGGCCAACGCACAACAAAAAGATGCCGAACTTCAGAAGTTACTATGCCAAAAAACTGCATTAAACCTCAAAACGATTCTACTGGAAAATGGACCAGTACTCTATTGCGATACTGCATCCGGTAAAGTACGTCCTTACGTCCCTGAGCCATTGAGAAAAAAAGTTTTTGACTCATTTCACTCGCCTGCTCATCCCGGAGTCAAAGGATCGCAAAAACTGGTCACGCAGCGATATGCATGGCCCTCTATTAACAAAGATTGCCGCGTATGGGCAAAATCGTGCATGGAATGCCAGAAAAATAAAATTCATCGACATGCGTCATCGCCGATCGCTAGTTTTGAGCCACCAACGGAACGGTTCGAGCATATTCATATTGACCTGGTGTCTCTTAAAAGGTCTAAAGGTTTCAATCAGTGCCTTACCATCATAGACCGGTTCACCAGATATCCTGAGGCTGTTCCATTATCCGATGGTACTGCAGAAACGGTAGCTCACGCATTATCGCTACATTGGATTTCGCGCCATGGAATACCTAAGCGTTTAACATCTGATCAGGGGCCGCAATTCGAGTCGGACCTGTTTCAGTCGCTATTAAAGTTCTAAGGTATTAAGCACTTGCATACAACCCCATACCACCCACAAGCCAACGGACTTGTCGAACGACTACATCGCCAGCTGAAATCGGCCCTTCCGTGTCACGACGAATCATGGTACGATGCATTACCAGCCGTCCTACTCGGTTTACGCGCAGCTAGGAAAGACGATATCGAGACGACGCCGGCTGAATTAGTATATGGTGAGCCAATTCGATTGCCTGGTGAGCTGCTCACTCCTACAAACAAAACCTCCCCACATACGATAGTAAACACTTTAAGACTTAATTTTAATTCATTGGCACCGGGCGAAATGTCACGTCACGGCAAGCATTCTGTTTTCGGTTTCAGGAACCTTAATACTTGCTCCCACGTACTAGTTTTCGCGTAATAAGTCGACACGATAAATACTTTGTCATAGACTTTCGACGTAAGCCAACTGCGATTTCGGTGGACAGAATAAAACCTGTTTACGAGGCCAACGCTGTCGACAATATAGATCCATCTACATCCAGCAACGAAACAGTAGTGAATCAGAAACGCAGAGTCGGATTCAATATATAATTTTTTTTAATTTTTTATCTATCATTCATTTTGCAAACAAAAATTATTAAATTCCCAAGTTTAAATATCATTACGCATAACAATGTTAATGAGTAAGCTTTTATATTATTAGATATCTTTGTAAATAATCCACAACTTAGCTATAGACAACCATTCCAAAAAAAAAAAAAAA